GTGTGTGTGTGAGAGTGCAGAGCAGGGTGACTGTCCTTAGGGCAGCTCTCCACACCAGAACAGAGCAGAGCAGCAGCTGACCAGCTGGCCCGCTCGCAGCTAGCAGCATGTTGTCTCTTCTATCTATTCTCTCCATCTCTGCCTCACCCTCTCTTTTAGTTTTATCAGACTCTTTCTCACACTCCTTTATTCTTTCTTTCCCTCACTCGCTGCTTTGTGCTCCAGCTCTCTCACACATTTCTCTCACTCTCACCTTGGCCCTCCTTTTTTTAAATTCCAGTCTCTTTCACGCCCACCGCTCATCATCGTCATCAGCCCCCTTTCACCTCCTTGTCTTTTTCTTTCTTTACTTTTACCTTCCCTCCCCCCTCCTCCCCTCCATCTCAAGCCGTTTCTCCCATTGCACGCCTCACTAGTGTTATTGTTAAGGTATCTCTCTTTTAACCTCATCTAATGTTCCTCTCCTCCCTCTCTCCACTCCCCATTGCCTTGTTCTTTGACTTTGTTCAAACCCTTTTCTCTCCATCATATCAGCCGTCTTTTGTAACCACAAAAAAAACTCTCTGTCTTCCTGTTTCACTGATTCAGTAATTGTAACCGTCGCATGACCTCAATACTTTTCCTCCTTGTGTTTTTCTGTTCCCCTCTCCTCTCTTTCTGTCAAATATGCCAGCCTTAGACTTTACATCCTGACACTTTCATCCCTTAGTTCATCCCTTACATGGTATTAAAAATATATCTTCCTTGAAAATGAGCACGGGTGAGCAGGAGAAGAGTGGAAGTCAGATAAGGAGATCATTCTTTTCTCAGAGAGGAAACATGAGGATTTTGCTGCTGTCTTCATTAGGGAAAGGGCTCAGAACTTGTTCAGTGTATTTCCATCCTGTTCTCACTGCACTCCAACATGTGCAGCTAAAGTCTATTGCAAGCCACAGTGCATTGACGCACACAGTGGTTTATTGATATACACGTAGAGTGATAAGAATAGCAGTGAATGTGAGATTTATGATTTTATTACGCTTTTATTCTTGATTAGAATTGCCTTGCTTTTTGATCCGTCAGCCTGCCGACTTCTTCTAAAAAAATAGTTTTGAGAAGTTGCATGGACAAGCAATAAAGTGATCGTAATCTGGTGTGGATAAATAAGAAACGTTGAGGACCACTATTGTATCAACCTACAAGGACAGAATAAAGGCCAATTAATAATTATAATTTCAAAATGCACAGTAAAGAGAGAAAGACAGAAAGGAGGTCAGATTCAAGGTATTTACGGGTACATGGTGCTGTATGTGACTATCAGTATCATTAAAATAAATACATCAATAAAACTACATACAAGAGTCTACAGCCATATCGGTCAGAGTGTACTTCGGAAAAGCAGTAGTTTGAGCTAAATGACAACAATACTAACATGCTGATGTTTAGCAGGTATAGTATTTACCACGTGCATCATGTTAGCATGCTAACATTTGCTAATTATCAGTCAGCACAAAGTCGAGCTGAGGCTGGTGGGAACGTCATTAGCTTTCAAGCTATTAGTTCCTAAACTATAGTATTGGAGAAATTGAAATTTTGACTTGATTAGATTAAGCGGAGGGTCACCAAAGTAATTAATTCTTAGGGGCACATGATGTGTGTACCAAATATCCAATCCAATAGTTGGGGGGACATTTGACACTGAGGCAAACTTGCCAACCTTAAGGTGGTGCTAAAGAAAAAGATTAGGGGATTGTCAAAGTCAGTAGGATTCATCCTTTGGGGACCATGAATGTCTTTACATTTAAGCTAACAGTTGCTGAGCTTTTTCAGTTCGGACCAAAGTTGGGAGAACCACTCACAGACACAGACGTTGTCTTTTAGAGTCAGGCCTCTGGTGCGGCTAAAAAACTGCTGCGGAATCTATTCCAAGAGAACATTCAAAATTTTAAGAGCTTTTTTCATTGAAAGGCAATAATGTTGTCATTAGAAGTGTGCCATTTTGCTGTAGGTCATGTATAAAGTGGTGAAACATCATTTTTCATACTGCCTAGATGTCTTTTGGATGAGCCCTAACATTTGTATCGTGGAGAGGGAGAAACGTTTTTTTTTGCAATCGCCAACCTCCTTTGAAAAGTACTTTTACTCTAACCTGTGAAGTGATATGCATCTCATTCACATTTATATTCGACTTTCTACCGTCCTCTCTCCTTTTCTCTCTGTGTCTTTCACTTCCTCACATCATCTTCTTCTCTCTCTCTGTCTAAGTGGCCTGAAGGATTAAATGTGTATAATTAAGAGGTGATTATGTGTAGACTGCTGACACAAAAGGGATCGCCATGGCTTCATTCCATCGCCATACTGTCATCACCCTGTGTCCCGATTCAACCCTTAAACACACACACACACACACACACACTCAAATACACACTCTTTCCTCCGTAAGTCCGCCCTGTTTACCCCCCTCCTCTCCCTTACACCTCTCACAGCCTTCTGTCTGTCATTTCCTTGTTTTGTTTTTTTTAAATAATTTTTTAATCTGCAGAATTAATTCTCCCTCTTTTGTCTTTTGCTTCTTTCGTTACAGTATATATTTGTATACGTATGTGTCATTACATTGAATCATGCCGGTATAGCATGAGCAGAAAGATGAGAGAAAAATAAGATGTAAAACTTTGATAAACACAACAAAAAGCTGTGAACTACAGTAAATATTATCTTTCAGTATAAAATGGAGCTCCAGTTCAGACTCATTTTAGTTTTTTTCAAAGTGTGCTTCCCCCTGATCCATCAGAGATAATAAGCAATAATCGAAAGATAACTATATATCAGACACAATAAATCTTAAAGTCAAACAAAAATGATATCACATAGAGTAAATAGTACACTACCTGCTGTAGGTACTAAAATGCGTGTGCGTGATGCTGAAAGGCTGATTACACAATGATGTTGAAGGCTACTAAAAAATACCAAGACAACATAATGTGAGAAAGCAAAAGAGGTAAAAAAGGGGAGATTTAATAGCAGGGGAAGAAAGCAATGGCAGAAGCGAGGCAAGCGAGGAACAGCAAGACAGAAGAAAGTAAATTGCTAATAAGCGCAGTGGGTGAAAAAGAGGCCAACAACTTGTTTATTGCAATGGTGGGAAGATCAAAGTCAGGGAGAAGCCTCAGCATTTTCTTTTTGTCTGTATGTGTGAAAATACTGCATGTGTAAGTATGCGCATTTGTGATAGTGTGAAACAAGAAGACCTTCCACTATGATAATTACCATATGAACCAGAGCATATGAAACATCTGGTACCACTGTTTTTTAATCTGTGCATGTATGTTGGAAAAAGTATGTATCACGTTTATCGACATTATACGGCTTCATGCGTGAGTGTAGATTTCCACCAGACTTCAGCGGTGTACAATAAAGACATTTAGCTCACACATTTAAACAGGTCAGTGTGGATACTAGAGAACGACTGGACCAGAGCACGGCTCTCATTCGCTGTGCTGTGCCTGATGACGCGGACAGCATTGTGAGGCAACAGGGACCTTTGTCCTTTAAAACATGCCATCACTCTTGTCACAAATTAGCCCCCAGGAAACATGCCCACTAATTTGAGTCTCAATGCACTGAAGAAGCACAGGTTTTTTTTTGAGCATGTATCTGTTTGTGTGTGTGTGTGTGTGTGTGTGTGTGTGTGGTCAAAAGACAAAGAGGGAGACAGATGGGTCAGACAGTGTTCCCTCTGTGGGTTCGGAGCTGGAACACAGCTAATTACATCTTAATTAAAAATGACCTGTCTGTCCCTGCTGTTTGCACACATGTGTAAGACAGACAGCAATAGAGAGTGAGACCTAATAAGTGTTTCAATATAAACGGGTACAAGGGGGTTCCGGTGCAGAATTGTAAACATATATGTGCATTTAATGTGTCTGTGGCGTCTTCACTGTTCAATGAGCTCAGTGCTGATGTGTTGTTTTCTGACTCGGTGGATGTTAAAGGCTTTGTCCCGGTCCTCTCAATTCATCCATCCCCTTGTTTCTGAATTGCTCTCGGCTTTGAGGGTCGCTCTAATAGTGTGTTCAAACCTAACGCGGTCCTTGCCGAAACTAATAACTGAGGCCAACACAAAGAAGATGTTTGCTGGTTTACTACATCGGTACAAAACCCAAAATAATGTGATGTAATTGCAATATACAGATAAAAAGGATGACAAAAGACTACATAATGATGTAGATATAAAAAAAAGACATACAAAGTCAATGCAAAAATGCGAATTACTTATTTGCGTTATTAGCATATTTTGCCATATTTCAGGGCCTATCAGTATTGAGATTATCCTCCTGTTGTAACTGATGCCCTGTTTGTTGAATCAGAAATAGAGAGAAAACATATTGTAGCTATCTGTGGGCACCCATAGTACCTCATACATTGTACAGAGACCAGACGAAACTCTGTGAATAAATATATGTGTCTAAAACATGGTACTAACATGGTAAACACATGGTCTATGGTACTAACAGTAAGGTTGCTGCCATATTTATGTCTAGGTGAAATCATTTTGATGGGGCATCAATAATGTACAATGCACTGATCGATCCAGACTCCAGTAAAAAAAAACAAGCATTGTAAAATAATTTGCTTGTTGTCCTGAAGACCAGACAAAGCATCCATTTTCAGTTCAGTTCAGCATTAAGTTAGAGACGTATGGCTATACTAAACGCCTGTGGCGACTGACAAAACAAACGTGGTGGTGGTGGCATTTTATGCAAGTGCATGCTTCCATACATACAATGGGTATCGATTGAAGTACAAAAACAAAACAAATAAAAGTACTCTCTTGGTATCAGTATCATAATTGTGGGTACTGATATACTGCAGGTGTCATTTTTTAAACAGTACCTAGTCCTAATGCAAACCCATTCAAATGCACAGACACGCACACACACACACACACACACACACACACACACACACACACACACATACACACACACACACACACACACACACACACACAGAGGACTGACCGTTGTTGGAGCGTAGTGATCTGGTGGAGATGCCGTTGGTCCCTATAGGATGATGAACCCCTGCTCCATCCACCAGTCCTGCCTCCCCTGGCTGCTTCATAAGCTCTGTCAGAGTCCTGGAGGGAAGGAAGGAAAAACACACATTTGCTCACTTACAAAATCATCCTGCGTACAAACAGAATAGTAATAACAAGTGTCCTCACAAAAGGAAAGGCAGAGAGAGAAGAGAGAGAGTGCTGTCTGGTAGATGAGAGACCCTGTGAGACGCAATTAGTGTTAAAGAGATGTTATGGAACAGAATGAGACATATGATAAAAGATTGGAAAAAGAAACACATGTTCATGAGACTTAATGTGAAAAGCCATTATTAAAAGTAGCCAAACAGCTTAATAGCTCTACCTGAGGACAAAGACAAGTTTGAGGCAGATTGTTCACGTCTATAAGAACTAACCCAAACAGAAATCGCTCAGAATTAAATTCAAGAAAGTGGAATCGAGGATGAAAAGCACGAGTCTCTGGATGTTTGCCACCAGGGAGCATCAATCATTTATACTGTATATAAAAAAATAAATAAAACAACTTCCCCTTGCCATCTTCTATTGTTTGATGCCTTTGAACAAGTTCTGATGCGTCCTCAAAACTGGAACACAGGCAGGAAACAGCCTTCCGACATGCAGTTTTAACTCCTGCGGAGCAAACACAACCTGCAGTAGTGCAGTGCTTTTTTAAAATCAGACAAAAAGTAGTTTGGTCGATTTTATTCTGGACAGATTATTTTGTCTGTTCTGTGCAAGATGGAAGAGGAAAAGGTGTTGTTGTTGTTTTTTTTACAAGTGGTGGTTTCAGCCAAGTAATCTGATTCGTCAAAGTGTGTCTCGTACAAAGCTGCATCACTGTCACATGAGTGATTGCACCAACCCTGGTGGAAACCGAAAGGATATCAAATGCCCTTTTTTGGGAGTCAGCTACCAAATGTTTTTTTTTGATAAAGCAATGAAAAAAAGAACACATATCAAAAACCTGCTGTAAATAGGTCACTCGTATGAAAAGCTCGATTCTATTCCCTCCTCTTTGACCTCGTTAATTAGTTTTAAAAACTTTCCAGTATTTGCTCACAACAAGGACTAAAAACAGGGGAACGCTCAGCGTCAACATGCAGCCATTGACGAAGGAAATTACAGCAACATAGTCAACAAATCAGCTGTGACCTGAGAGTTAGCTATCAAGAGACCCATAAATATTTCCTCACTGTTAATCTCACTGTTGAAACCCCGAACGCAGCCTCCTAAAATGCAGCAGAGCAAATGTCTTTGTATTAGCCCGCTGTGAGATGATTGCCTGTGGTCATTGGGAGCAGTATGCATAAACACATGAACCCCTGTACTTTATAATGTAATTCAACACAGTCGACTTGCAATAGGCACTTAGTACAAGGTGCCAGAGTGAAAGTTTCTTCTTTTTTTTTTTTGCTTGTTTGTGTAATTTGATCCCAAATGAAGCGACAAGATAACATGAAAACGATCAGCTGTTTTTATCTTTATGTATCATTTATCCACCAAATATGAGAAGCAATCAATTCAGGAGCTCTTGAAAAAATCCACCGAGGCGAAAACTAACAAATTACCTGACAGGGTATAGAAACATGCTCTCCTTGGCTCAGGAAATTAGACGGTACAAGTCAATTTCATACGAAACACCAACGAAATGCTCACTGATGCTGTTGACAGCACAGCCCCAAATCAGAAGCATCAGGCAGGAGAAATCTGAAATTAAATTGGTATTTCTTTCCACTCCCTTGACATTCTTCTCACTGCTGAGGCGCTATGAAGCAATCCTCAGCTGCTCCAGTGGACTGTGGTTGTACTGGGCAGATCCCTGGTGTGCATGTGGAAAAAAAACAAAAAACCGGCTCAGCAAAAACTTAAATAAATTAACGTCAGGAGAAAAGTTTGAAGTTTGATATTACACTCCATGCTGACGTGACAAGTCCTCTCTCCTCTGGCAAATGCTGTGTATATACGTACACGCTTAGTATTGGAGTTTATTCTTGAAACCGCAACATTTGAGGTTTGAAGGATACAATGAAACTTTTAACGATTTCCATGTGGAAATTAGTGCATTAATGGGACATGCAAAGGCGATAAGTACCCATAAAATGTGTCCTCATACTGTATAGCATGGGCAGTATGTGCCACAGGAACACATATGCTGTACCCACACATGCATCTCAGTTGCCCTTTTGCAGTTTCTGCTTGCCAGCTAATCCATTCTCTCTCTCCCATCTCATTAATATCTGTCCACTTACATTGCATTACTTCATTTGTCTTCCACTCCCCCAGCCCCCCATTCTGTAGGCCGTATCCCTCGTCACTCTCTCGCCGTCTTGCTTTTGTCCCCTCGAGAATGCTCAAGAGCGCTGTTGTTGAGTCCTTGTTGTTCTCTACACCTCTCAATCTCCCTGGAAACATCTTCTCTTTCTTTTTCTCCTCTTCTAATCCCGTCTGTCTTATCTTCTCAACGTCCTGCGTCTGACTCCATTCCCCTTCTCTTATCTTTGCCCCCCTTCTTCGTCGCTACAGTCTCCCTGTATCGCTTCCTCGACCCTCCGTCTCTCTTTCATCTCCTCTTAGCCCTTTCATTCTGACGCTCTTGCCCGGTCACATCGTTGCGCCTGGTCCGTCTCACCCTTTGGCCCAGTTTCTCTGTCCTCCCTCTTCTCTCTTTCTCTCTTCCCCTTTAGTATTCTCAGCCCTTCCTCCCTCGTTTCTTCCCCCCCCAGAGGAAACTGTCACATAAACTATTTTAACTTTGCAATATTAGCACTCATGAAACAATACAGAGTGATATGAGGACATCAAAGCCCCCATGTTGGTGCACACACACAAACACACACACACACACAAAAATAATCAATAAATGACTCCAGAATATGATAAATAATAAAGTAATGGAATGCATCTAGCAACAGCTTTCATCTCTACTAGCTCTTCACCACATCGTTCTGACAAATGGCCGCTTACGTTGTGGAGAAATTCAGACACTGCGTGTACCCCACTTCAGAATAGCATCCACCCAGTGTATATGCCGAGGATGTCTGGCTCTTCCTTGAGGTTGACACGCAGCACTTCACACAACACAGACTTCTAGCACAGGCCCACACACAGCAATGCGTTCAGTATACACCACAGGCCCTCTAAATTCTGGAAGAACTTGTATTCAAATGCTGTCTTTTTTTCTAAAAGATGGGCATGTTATAAGATGCTTCTCTTTAAAAAAAGTGTGAAGTAGTTGCACAGCCTCTGGACTTGAAACTAGGCTGTTGTGGTTGAGCTGATGTTACTGGCATTTTAATCTTTGAAAACAGTTTTATGATGGCCTTTGTCAAGCTTTTGAAAATATCCCTGAAGGGAAATTATGCTATTGGTTGCATTAAGGTAAATGTAGGATTTATTGATTTTGCAGCTTGGCCATAGAGTGCTGCAGGAATGAGTCATAAAATCCGGAATTGAGTGTCTTGAAGTCAATGAGTTAGTTGAATGGGTTTTTTTCTAAGAGGCATCTGTGGTTAAAATAATATTAGGTTTTAACGTTTTTTTCTAAAAAAAATAGTGAAAGAATATTGAGTGAATTTTGAAGCTTCTTAAGTGTCTTAAAAAGGCAGTTGCTAAGGTACAACATGTCATCACGACTTCACAGCCTTGTTGTGTACACTCATGCCACTGTGGTGCAGTTTGTTTACATTAACTTGTTTATTTCTGACGATTGCATTCACGCTTCAAAATTCATAAAAGTGGTATTCATTTGTGAAGATAATGTTGCTGAACAAAATGTGTCATGAATTTGTGTTTGCCACAGAACTTATTTTCTGCACTTATCCAAAATCCAACTTCTGGGGTTAGAAACACAAATACATCATCCCTGCAGCACTCTATAGCAGCGACTAAAAAACAGGATATCTCCGCCTGTGTTGCTTTAGTTTGAACCATTATTTTAAAATCTGTCTCTTATAAATAGCCCAGCTTCATGGGAGTGAGAAGATTATGCTGGAAAGATGGATAAGCACAAAGTATTTATTAGTGGCGTCTGACAGATTTATGGATACTACGTTCTAGGAATTTATTATTTGTATCTAATTTTGCTTAACCAAAGGTGTATTTTTATTATGCGTAATTGGTGCAATGTCATTGTGCCCCAAACACCTACATTAAGTCAAACAACAGCTGGCCTCTAAACAGCACCAGTCCAGGATGTACCCTGTACATCCTGGACTGGTGTCAACTTTCTTCATATGGAAAACTCTCAACTGTTACATTTTTATGGAGCGTTGTTTTCTAGATTAAGTATTGTTAATTCGTTTCAGGAGGTTTGCATTCACACAATACCAGATGAGCCTAATTTCCTGTTAAATTACTTTGAAAAATGTATTTCATGCAAGAGGAGATGAATTGAATAATGAACAGATGTACAGGGACTATATTTTTCAAAAGTCATAAACAAAAGTGATTCAGCCACAGGCTGTAAAATGATCCGCCACAGAGAGTTTTAATCCTGTGTGGTTTGTTGGAACTTCTGGAAAACTCCACAGAAACATATCCGGGCAGTCTGACAAGTTTAAAGTTCCCATGAAAGGGTGAGCATGAGTGCTGTTTGATTCCGCATATTTACGTGTCTTCTGTAAAAACAGTATAGGGAGGATCTGGAACAAAGATGCAGATCTCTATCATCCCACACACCAACATTGTCATCTCCAGGGCCTTACCGCTAACATGGCTTGAAATCACATAATAAACTGAGCAGCAGTCTTCATGATATAAATATCATTTACACTCAATTCATTAGTTACTGTACACTTGAGCTAATGCAATTAAATACAAAATCAGAGTATTAAAAAAACTGATAATTGAGTCTGTGTAATGTGTTGTATGTCAAACTGCTTCATTAGATACCATTATCAAAAGGACAAATAATCAAATCGTCTGAAAGCACGAGACGTGGCTGTGAATGTTGAACGCTGTTCTGTCATCAGTAAGTACTCCGCGAGAGCAGCTAAAGGCTAACGTCATGAGCTCATGTCAGCGCTCATTGTTCTGTTGTTGTGAAATAACAATAAACTCAA